TTTTTCCCCTATTATTTTAAGAGAGATCTCCCTAAGAAAACAGCCCACATGTATCCAGTCATCAACTAGAAGGCTTTTTTGAGTAATAGAACCAGAATTCATATGCTCAATTCCAGAATCCTCCATGTAATACCAGACTGTCAGGGCTGCTCCCTTGTACAACTCCAGTTGCACACTTTCCACTGTATATTCTAGGTGGCTGGCTTTCATGGGCCTCTAAAGGGAAACACATTATATACTGTTGTTGGTGTTAGATGCCATCAAGTTAACTCATAGCGACCCTGTGAACAAAAGATCTGAAACTAGTCCTATCCTCACACTTCTGACACACAAGGGCCTCCTGCAGCAGTAACCTTGTCAGTCCACCTGGTTGAGGGTCTTCCTCTCCTTTGCCAATTTCTCAACATCATGTCCAGCTAGTAATATGACCAAAGTATATTACGTAAAGCTTCATCATTTTTGCCTCCAAAGAGCACTCTGGCTGCATCCTCTCCAAGACATATCTGTTAGTTTTCTGGAATGTTCAGTGTTCTTCTCCTAAATTGCACATATCATTTACCAAAAGCAATGTGCCTGCCGCATAAATACAGCTTTCAGGCAGTTCCCCCATCTCCCTGCTATGTATGAATTCTGGCGATCTCCATGCATGGTGCTTCCCACTGCAGTAGATGTGTTTTTTTGCCATTGTGTTGATTAAAAGGTCTATAAAGAGACACTCCTCGGGTGACCTTTTGTTGTATTAAGGTTCAATCTGTTTTGAAACATCATGCAATGGTTCTTCACTCTGGGTTGAATTGACTGGCACTGAAATTCTTGCTTCCTTTCCCCCACTACATTCCAGGCTGCTGTACAGGACAGATTGAATGAGCAAGAAGGTGTACCAAGTGTTTTCAACCCGCCTCCTTCCCGACCCCTGCAGGTTAATACAGCAGACCACAGGATCTACAGCTATGTTGTCTCAAGACCACAACCAAGGGCAAGTGATTTTGCAGCTGAAATATTTTTAACAGTTTATCAGTTTGGCCATGTTAATTTTACAGTATGATAGAAATGAAAAAAAATACTCAAAATGAAAGCAGTTAGCTACTCTGAAGTCCTTGGTAAAGTTAGTGGGTATATCATATCCTTGACTCCTTAATGAGTCCTAAGTCACTATTTTATTTTCTGTTGTTTGCCAGTTACTTGGGGAGTATTTCCGTGAGTACATAATAGATTTATTTACATGTCTAAAAGTGTTTACTAAATATTAATGTCCCATGTTTTTTTAAAAAAAAATTACACTTGCTGAAGAATTTCATTTCTTCTTGTAACTTTTAAGTTATTTGACGGCATTACATCCTATATTTCATCAAACTCCTATGGCTTTTATTGGTTGCTATTTGGTTGATTTTTCTATTTTTTTTTTCTTTTATTCATTGTTACACATTTTCTTCCTTCTCCCCCTACCAGCCCACCCCTCAGTGCATCCAGATTGTTATCATACTAATGTCCGACTTTTAAGTTAGAATCTGTTGACAGGTTTAGTTTGATTAATATTATTTACTTAATTTTAAGTCACTTCTGAAGAAGTTCTTGGGTCATATATGAGGAGCTTTAGCCACATCTTTGAAATTATTCTTAGGGCTGATAGCAAAAAGATTTGGAAGTGCTCCGGTGTATTTGGTGTTTTATTGCTGGGGATACAGAGATGTACTGAGAGCTAGTCTTCCTCTCAAATTGCTCAGAATTTTCCAGAGAAATCAGATGTGTATACAGATAATGAATTCCAGAGAACTTGATATTTCTCCTTCTTTTTCTTTTCTTAATTAAAGAAAACTAATTTTTAAAATTTTTTTAAATAATTTTAATGAACATTTACAGAGAATTTGGATTTCCATTCATTCATTGCTGCACTTCTCTACCCGCCCAGCCCTCTCCCCCCGACCCCCAGTAAAAGAACTGATTTTTAATACTTTTGAGCAGTAGGAGTTTCTTTTTTTAACCAGGAGTTATACACAGCTGCTGTAGTTAATTTAGAATTTAAAAAAATAAGTTCTCTTAGAATGTGCACCACTTAGAATTTCCTTCATCACTGTAAATTTATTAGTTGTGCTTACCAACATTTAGAATGTGGAGTTTCTAAGTAATCATTTTGAGTAATCTGTGTATAAATGCACAGATTCCTAGAGTATTTGTATGACTCAAAGATAGTTCTGTTTATTCCTGGTGTTTTTTCTGCCTCTTTGGGGTTTGATACCCTAATATCACAGAGAAGATTCTACATTAGCATAATATTATATATAAGAATGTATGTTATAAAATAAAGAGCCCCACTTGTAGCTAGCTTGCAATTAATAGTAGTAGTAATTAACATTGTCAAGCTTGTTAAAGGGACCTCTGGTGGCATAGTCATAGGGAGTTGTACTGCTAACCCAGAGGTCGTATTGCTGGCTAGTCAAACCCAGTGACTCTCTCAGAGAAATAATGAGCAGTCTCCTCTTACATGATTTACAGCCTCCAGAAACCTGCTGGAGGTTCAGCTAGGAGTCAGTTCCAACTCAGTGTCCATGTGTTTGAGTTTGGGAGCATTGTTAAAGAAAATTACACACACACTGAGTGACTTTTTTTTTTTTTTTAAATTTTTTGTGTGTGTGTGTGTGAACTGGGGAGAGGGAAAGGGGCATGTGTGTAAAAATGTGCAACAAAGAATGAATGAAAATCTACCTTTTCTATAAACTTTCTTTAAAATCACGATTAAAATAAAAAATTTTATTAAAAAGAAAATTACAGTTAACATTGCTAAGGATAATAGTTAATAGAGATTTTCAGTTGTGGTTAGTATTATCGTTTTATATACTGTGTCCAAGGTAATAATAGTACCTTTCTTTTTTTTTGGCATAGTTCTTTTCAGTTTATTGCATCAAAGAGTTACACTAGTCCAAATTAAAAGTGGACCCCAAATGGTTACATTATATAAGCTGTGAAGTTTTAAACTTGTGACGGGGACAGAAGGGAAATTTTCTACTCATTGCAAAGACATCCTCACTTACGCTTCAGGGAGCCACAAGCACTTAAAACCCATGAACCTTCAGCCCGTCATCCTTAGCCTGTCCCGTCTATACCAGGAACTGGCATATGTTCTTGCACTGGTCACCCTGTAGCTGAATTACTTCTCCATATTCTGGATACCATTGCAAGCAAATTTCTTCTTAAATGCCTTCACTGGTTTTATTATTATCATAATCATCAGTGATCCCTTGAACAATTGTAAGGGTTTTCCTGCCATTTCTCTATTGAATTCTTATGTGGATATAATCCTCAGTCCCAACAGGAAGCAGGTCATCACCCTTACTAGCATCAGCAAGGGGGTCGAAAGAGTGGAGGTTCTGGATAGCAGACATACAATAAGATTCCTTTTCTTCTGTGGAAACGGCCTGTGGAAGGTAGTGGTGGAAGAAGGCAGACGAGGGGACTGAGGGTCAGGAAGCGAGAGGGCTCAAGGGGGAGGCAGCTTAGTCCTCGGCGGCGGCTCAATGATTGGGAGTAACTTCCTTTCTTGTTGTTCCTGTGTACCATCTAAAATCTTGAAAGAATACAATTGAATTTGACAATAAGTAAGGTCAGAAAAATCACTAAAGCAGTTATAATATAAAAATAAAATATGTGAAAAGACACATATTCTCATAGTGGCTAAAATGAGATCTAAGGTAGTTGGTCTGTAAGAAGATTTAGGTGGCCAGGAAGAGGGAAACATGTTGGAGAGGAAGAAATACTATGTATGAAAGGCCAGCAAAGAGGAGGTTAGCCATTTTGTCACATGTTAGGGATTGAGAGAACCATGTCTAACTTTGGTGGGATTTTGTTTGTTTATTTCAGGGACTGCTTGGATGGGGTTATTACTTGATAATGCTTCCATTCCGGTTTACTTATTACACAATACTTGATATATTTAGGTAAGTATCTTTACGTTTCAGTAACACTGAATAGAGTTTGGAACATTCAGCTTAGAATCAGACATGTGCTTTCTCAGTTTGGACTTAGAGTTTGTGATCAGACTGAATGTTTTCCTAAGCAGTCTTCTAATGTAGTATGAAAAACTTGTAGTATGAAATTGTTCAAATGTAGTGACAGGTGTTATGAAATGGAGTTGTTAAAGTTAGTCTTGCCTATAATTTCAAAGAATTGGTCTACCTTTATTGGTTATCCATACACATGTATTTGTTAGCTCTATATTCTTTAGCTAATCTTCATGCCCTCTTCTATCATAACTATTATCTCCTATTTCAGTTATCACTTGTGATAATTTTTACCCCACACCACTTCTTTTCCATCTGACTTCTGGTAATCTCAACAAAGTCCCTTGCTCAAAGGTTAACCAGTTCTTCCTAGGTTCCTTCTTTACCAGTAGACAACTCTGGTATATTTCACCCTGTCTTGGCAGCACATACATTGCTGATATTAGAAACTCTTCCATATGTTTACCCACTTGCTCGATACTCATATTTCTTTTAGCTTCTTCCAAGTATCATTAAAATGGTCATCAACAAAAGCTAGAAAATATTGGGTAGGGTCTGATTAGCTGCCATATCAGGTTTGGGATATCTGGTGTAGAGCTGAATGGTTCTTGAACTCAACTTGGTCTTTATGGGGGGAAAGATGGGACACGTAGGCCAAGAGACAAAACTAGAATATGTGGTCTGGGCCTTGTATATTGGGCACGCCAACCCCTCCTTCCAATTATGAAGCCACAGAGGCCATCAAGTATTAAGGCCAGATTAGAACATTTTATCTTTACCATTTTAGCATCTGCTTAGTGGTTTCCATGCTTTAGCATAGTTCTTAATGGTCCCCATTAGCTGATCCATGCTCTTTCCATCCTGTTTATTTAAAATTTGGCCACTTGATCATTTGACATCTCTATTTTTTAGAAAAGTTGATTGTGCTAAAGTATGAAGGCTGTGGGAATGTATTGTAATCACAAACAGAAAATGTTGAAAGCCTTAATCAAGATTTAAAGACGTATAATTTGAAAAATAATAGGATAATCCTAAAATAATATTAGGGGAATTAGAAACTGCTGATACAATCAAAATAGCAATCTACTAAAGAATTTCTAACTACTCCTCCACATGCACAACTTCTGTTTTATGACTTTAATTTGCTCTGGAATTCTTGTGTCAGTAAATTTAATTTGATTGTTGAGGAAAAATTCCAAGTAGTATTGTATACATATAGGGAATGTGTTGAGGGAATAAGGCATTTGCTTAAGATTTGGTAAGAAAAGTATCATATTCTAGCTACCTTTTCTGTGCTGACAGTTCCATAAATAAATGAATACTGTTTGCTTTCCTTCAGAAAATATGCATGGCATGTGTTACTAATTTAAATGCAGCTGTGTCATCCAGTCAACTTGTTTAATGTTTTAGAGCATATTGACTTATCAGAGCCTCCTATGGAAACCCACAGGATATAAAATGGGGCTTCATGAATGTGATAGGATAAGATGATGTGTAATACAATGAGGTATGCACATTCTTAACCTTATAATAAATAACCAGTACTCTAAATCTGGCAAACCATAAATCATCAAGCAGGATGTGTTTGCTCCCTTGAAAAGTGAGTGAGCAAGTTAATCATGACTTCCAGTTCCAGTTTGAGGTTCCTGTCCATAATTTCAGTACCTCAGGAATGTTGTTGTTGTTGTTATATGCCATTGAGTTGCTCGCGACTCATAGCGACCCTATGTACAACAGCCCTAAAACCTGCTCTCTCTTGTGCCAGTCTCACTGCCTCTGACATGCCCATCCCAATTACCCCAGTCACTGAATCAGTCCACCATATAGAGGGGTCTTCCCCTCCTGCGCTGTCCTTCCACCCTCCCAAGCATGATATCCCTCTCCAAGGACCTGTCCCTCCTTACATCATGTCCAAAGTATGTTAGACGAAGCCTCAGAATCTTTGCCTCCAAGGAGCAGCCTGGTTTAACCCTCTCCAGGATGGACCTGTTTGTTTTTTTGGCAGTCCATGGTACATTCAGTACTCTTTTCCAGCACCACAGCTCAAAGGCATCAATTTTCCTTCTATCCTCCCTAGTCATATGAAATAAAAATTCAAAATTCCAAGAGTCTAGAACCAGAAAGGGAAAAGACAAGTAGGACAACCAGGAAGTGCTTCGAACTTCTTGAGATGAAAGGAGTGTTCTGTGTCTCCAGTGTCCATAAGGAAAGCCACTAACCATCTGGTTATGTGGAGCCTATGACTCAAGAACGGAAATTTCAACTGTATTTAATTTTAATTAATTTACATTTGATAATCACCCATGACTAGTGGAGGCACACCTAACCCATGATCGTTTTAAGCATTATCTTCCTCTCTCGGCTCTTCTACCACTACGTTATTCTGCAAAAAGCACTCAGCATTTGTTTAAGCCAGTGTTGGCATTTGTAATACTTATAGTTTCTTGAACAAGCAATGGAATGACACTTGCTGCTTTGCAAATTTTGAGCCAGACTCTTGGTTGTGGTCTGCCCACAGACTGTTCATTTCCTTTTATTGCCATTCCTCTGGCCCTGTTATAGGCTTCTGTACAAATGGGCTTACACCATATGCACTATCGTAAGCTGGATTCATGTGATACTTATTCCTTCCTCCCCAGGTTTGCTCTTCGTTTTATACGGCCTGACCCTCGCAGCCGGGTCACAGACCCTGTTGGGGATATTGTTTCATTTATGCACTCTTTTGAAGAGAAATATGGGCGGGCACACCCTGTCTTCTACCAGGGAACGTACAGCCAGGTCAGTGCCACAAGCCACATGGATGCCAATTTCTCGATATGATTTTATCCCTAGAGGACAGAATAGCCTAGCACTGTTCATGTCAGTCTTTTATTCAGAAATCTTAGGTAGCACTGCACTGTTTATAGAAAAGTGGGGTCTGGGGAGAGACCTGATAGCTAAGCCCTCCTGGAGCCAATCCCAATCTCAGATATCTTTTCTTACATGACTTGATCTCTGTTCCATAGTCCCAGCTAAACCATTTTCTGTGTCTGTGCCTTTGCTTTTTGCTGTTCCTTCTGCCTGAAATGTCTGTGAATTGGAATCTTACCTGTTCTTCAAATAGTTCATGTAACTCCCTTCCTGTAGCCTCTTCCTGAGTATTGTGCCCTATCTTGCCTTGCAAGTCAAAACAGTTATCTTTCCTTTTATTCTCTCATAGTTTTGTTTTTGAACTTACAGCAATTTTACCTTCTTCCTTATAATTGTTTATATTTATGTCTTCTTTGCCAGAATTGTCAGCCCTTAAAGACATGGCCAAAGTCTTAAAAAAAAAAAAAATCACAGAATTGAATGAGTACATGGACTCAAAGTGCCACATTCATTCAACCTAAACAGCATAAACTTTTGATCCTATTACTTCTTGAGGGAAAATCTAGATAGACCCTGTGGTGTTTAAGGAGCCCTGGTGGCTTAATCTATAAGAGAATTACACTCCTAACTCCAAAAGCTGCATGTGTCTGATGGTTCAAATCAACCAGCAGCTCTGTAAAAGGAAGATGGAAACTACTCCCATACAATTTACAGTCTCAGAAACCCGATTAAGTAAGTTACATGTTGGTTCTGAGTCAGTAGCTATTAGAAAAAGAGAGTATTATTTTTAATCCCTAGTTTGCCAAAGAAAAACATAAAAAGTACTTATGTGAGCATAGATAAGTTTACTTTAATTATACAGCTTTCAGGGGTCCTGAGGCTCCCTGGAGAAAAAGAACAATATTTACCTTTGCTTCCTGTTTTGATTCTCCTGTATCTGCTTTTTCTCATAATTTCTTAGCTATCTTGCCTCACTCAACAAACATTAAGTACCTCCTACTATATGCCAGGCCTTTTACTCCGTGCTAGAAATACCAAATAAATAGATGAGAACTCTTATGCACCCGAAGGGCTGTATTTCCCAGGGTAGACCAACCATTGGTCATTCAGTAAACCTACATTGAAAAGCAAAGATCTTTTTAAAACTTAAGCTCTTTAGAATGCCTTGGGTCCCCTCATCTTACTTGTTACGTTGCCTGGTTCACCTTCCCAGTTATTTTTCATTTCTAAGAATGCAGTAACTGTCAAGCAGCAAAATTCTCACCACCTTTTTCATGTGATCAGATTCTCCTGTTTTGTTTTTGTTTTCTTTAGACTGTGGGAATGGCTTTTTTGTGGTTTCTTGAAGACTTGTGTTTGTCAGACTATTCTCATGAGCTTGATGCTATTCAAATCTTATAATAACACGAAAACCTTTTTACTAAAGCTTTTAGCTTGAATTTTCTACAGGTTGAAAAAGGCCAAGGGTATGAAGGTAGGGACCTAGGTATTTGGTTTCCTGTTAGCCTTTTGTTTTGGTTGGTTGGTTGGTTAATTGGTTAGTTGGTTGGTTTTGTTCTTAAACCCATAGCTGTATTCATTAGGATTCTAACCCTATATAAAAACTCAAGGTCCAGTCATCCTAAATATTCATTAACATCTTTTTCTTATAGGCACTTAATGATGCCAAGCGAGAGCTTCGATTTCTTTTGGTTTATCTTCATGGAGATGATCACCAGGATTCTGATGAATTTTGTCGGTAGGTGAAACGCACCTTTCTTTCCCTTTTCAGATCTTATGTACCTGATATTTTCTAGTCTGAAGTTGTTCTTATATCCTTTTCTCCCTCTCTGTAGCAATACACTCTGTACACCAGAAGTCATTTCACTCATTAACACTAGGATGCTCTTCTGGGCATGCTCCACAAACAAGCCTGAGGGATACAGAGGTAAGCTTTGTTTATTTTCCTTTCTGAGGTTGTTGGTTATCTTTGGAATGATCTAGGAAGACATGCCATTTATTGCATGATTACGTAGTAGTACACATAATGTCAATTGCCATTTATACATTATTTCATCTAATGCTCATCATTCTTAAGAAATAGGGTTGTGTTACCTCCACTTGATGGATTAGGACATAGGCAGAGTGTTTAAACTATTGGCCCAACATCTAGGCAAGTTTTGGATCAAGTGTAGGTGTGTCTGTCACCAAAGCCTAATCTTTACAGTTAGCCATTGTTGTCAGAGTTTGCTTACAAAACAGTACATCTAGTCCTGGCCAGCACTTTTTACTGGAGAATTTATTCTTTCATCAGCAATTCCAACAGCTTATACAGTGATGACATTGTCTAAGTACCTTGAGTAAGTTCTGATTTTGGTTGACAATAACTTTTAACTGGAAATGGTTATTTTGAGAAGTCAGTATATTCTGTGAAGAAAAATGTAGTTTATTGTATTACAGCTTTACAGCTACTTTTCATCAGCCTAATACAACACGGTGAGCAGATGTTTTCCCTACATCCAATAATGTGAATCTGATTTTTTAAAAATATCTGATTAGCTCCTGTAGTGTGTGTATTGTCATTCTAATGTGATTTTGATTGGAGACCAAGGATATTTTTCCAAATATCTCTTAAACCATAAGAAAAATAGGTGAAACTAATGATAAAATCTTGGTTATGTAGAGACCACTTTTCTAGATTCCAGTGGAGCAGAAAAGCTATCCATTTTAGGGAGGGGCGAAAGTCATATGAAAAGAGTTAAGGAAAGAATTAGACAGGAGGAAGGAAAGAGGAAGATGGTGGGGACCAGCACCAAGAGCATCAGACTGAGGCTTCTCCACTCGGGGAAGAATTGTGTTCTAAGCCCTGGTGGCATAGTGATAAGAAGTTGTGCTGCCAGTCCAAAGGCATGCAGTTTGAATCTACTAGCTGCTCCTTCGGAGAAAGATGGGCCATATTTTCCCATGTGGTTTACGTCCTCTGAAAACCCAGTGTGGTGGGTCAGCTATGAATGAGTCAGTTCTGCCTTGATGGCGTGTAACAAGCAGCAGTAGTTAGAATCTTCAGAGTTTTTTCTTGCCATCAAGTAGCTATTGTCCTAGAATATTTGCTTCTTTCCCCAGCATGATCATTGCAACTCCCATAAGAAAAGCCTATCATGTTGTGTTTGGATTGTGGTATTGGCAAAGGGTATTGAATATATGATGGACTTCCTGAAGAATAAACAGATTTCTATTGGAAGAAGTGCAGCCATAGTGTTCCTTTAGAAACAAGGATGATGAAACCTCATCTCACATACTTTAAAAAGTGTGTTGTCTGGAGGGTTTAGTGCCCATCTTACTTGAAAAGCTAGCAGCTCAGAGAAGCAGAGAACAGACTTCAACAAGATGGTTTGACACAGTGACTACAACAGTGAGTTTAAGCACAGCAAGCATAATGAGGATGGGGCAGGACTGGGCAAGATTTTTAGAACTGTTGTGCTTACGGTCACCATGAGTCAATAGCAGTTCAGCTAGCAGCTACCAACAACAACATTCAGTCAATCACCTGAGCATAGAGACACAAATACGTTAACAAAACTACTAAGAACTAGGAGAAAAAGAAAGATAGGCAGAGAATAAATAAATCTTTTGTTTCTCAACCGAGATTAAAGGAGTTCTCTTCTTACGTACTGTGTAAATGCTAAAGATTAATCTGCTTTACTGCCAAGTCCTACCCTTGATCTTTTGGGTATTCTTTCTGTCAGTGTCCCAGGCTTTGCGAGAGAACACATATCCATTCCTGGCCATGATTATGCTAAAGGATCGAAGAATGACTGTGGTGGGACGGTTAGAAGGCCTCATTCAACCTGATGACCTTATTAACCAACTGACATTTATCATGGATGCGAACCAGACTTACCTGGTGTCAGAACGCCTAGAAAGGTACAAATTGGTTCCTTTAAGTTGGAACTAAGAGGCTTTTGCTATAGATTTGAGGGGCTGACCTGTGCTCCACAAACATAGACTCCTTTCCTGTCTTAGCAAACTTTGAAATCCAATTCCATTTCGTATTAGAATATTCATGTAAATAATTATATTTTGGATAACCTTTTCTTAAAGGGAGCTCTGGTGGTTTAGTGGTAAGAAGTTGCACTGCCTGTTCAGAGGCATACAATTCACATCTGTCAGCTGCTCCATGGGAGAAAGAAGGGTAATCTCCTCTTGTACAATTTACTATTTCTGAAAACACTCTGGAGGGTCAGCTATGATTCAGTTCTGACTCAACAAAACATAACAACTGCCTTTTCTTAAGAGACATGGTTCAAAATAAACAATAAAGAACTTAAGTGTAGACTGTGTGGTATGGTACTAACTTCCCTACCATTGCATAAATAATGTCCGTGAATGTAGAAAAAGCACAGAGAAATTTAAAATCACACATATTCCTAACCACAACTTTTCACTTTCTGTAATGGTTTTTTGTTTGTTTGTGTTTTGTTTTGTTTTTTTGTTGGGTTTGTTTTTGGTTGGTTTTTTTGGTGGGTTTTTTGGTGTTGTATTTTGTTTGTTCTGTGTTTTGTTTTTTTTTTTTCCTTTTAATGCTTCATAAACATGCATGTGCACCATTAAATGCATGGGTTTGAGTTTTGGGGTTTTTTTGTGGTTTTTTTTTTTAATTGTGAAGATACTATTTTATAAACTTTTTAAATACAATAATAGTAAAGCATTTTCTCTTGTTTTCAAATACTAACCTACCGTGTTGAGGTTTTTTGTTTTGTTTTGTTTTATGCCATGCTGTTTTTAATTGTGGCATAGCATCCTGTTATCTAAATTTTAATTTAACCAGGACATTTTGTTGTTGTTTTTTATTGCTTAAACATTTTTAATATTTTTAATAATTCTTAAATTCCTGAAAGTGCAGTTTCTGGTTTCGGACGTATTAATGTTATTTATAGACTTATAATGCAAAAAGATCACTGAGAAGTTATCCAGACTTAAACTTTAGTTCTTAATAATGTGGAAAATGAGGGGAGCTCTGGTGGCCTAGTGGCAAGAAGCTGTACTGCAATCCCAGAGGTACACGGTTCAAATCTACCTGATGCTTTGCCAGAGAAGGAGGGTAAATTTCCCTCCTGTACCAGTCAGATCTGATTTGACAGTACATGCACAATAAATACTAATAAAAAAATTTTTTTAAAAATAAAAAATTTGGAAAATGTTGTTATAAGAGGCAAACAAGATGTATATATATATAAACTCTCCAAATACAAGTATAGTGGAGTGCTCTGGTAACCTAGTGGCAAGAAGCTGTGCTGTAATCCTGAAGGTACGTGGTTTGAATCCACCAGCTTCTTGGAGGGAGAAGGATGGGAAGTCCCCTCCTGTGCAGTCAGATGCCTCTGAAAACCCACTAGAGGATCAGTTATGAGTCAGTTCCAACTTGACAGTACACAACAACAAACAATATGTATGAGAAGAAACTTCTGTGGTAGTAAAAGTATTCTCGATTAGTGTAGTAGTTACATTTAACAAAATTCATTGAATTGAAGATAGGTTTTCAAATGCTTTGGCTTAGCAAATGGATAAACAATTCCTTAAATTATGTGTTTAAGATTTGTGCATTTACGGTTCGAATCCACCAGATGCTCTGCCGGGGAAGGAGGGACAATCTCCTCCTGTACCAGTCAGATCTGATTTGACGGTACATGCACACAAAAATAATAAAAATTTAAAAAAGATTTGTGCATTTAACTTCATGTAAATTTTATTTAAAAGGAAAACCTATAAAATATATGGCATGCTTATCTATTGAAGCAGTCTGATTAGCTAAGGTATTGCTCTGTTAAAAGAAAAAGAACCACTGCAATCCCAGAGGTATGCAGTTCGAATCCACCAAATGCTCTGCTGGAGAAGGAGGGGCAATTTCCTCCTGTACCAGTCAGATCTGATTTGACGGTACACACACAAAAATAATAAAGTTTAAACAAAAAACAAAACAAAACAAAAAAGAACCATAGGAGGAAAAGATAAACAGATCAAAATGTTACAAAGTTTTCTCTTTGATTAAAGCAGTTCTAAATAATGTGTTTACCTTTTTCAGGTTTGTGTGTGTGTTTGTGTGTGTGTGTAATGTATACATGTGGGTTATTAGTTTCATGAAAAAAAGTACCAAAATGCTAATTCAGAAGGTTATTTTTTTGTGTAATCTTAATGATCTTGGTATTTGTGCAATATTAACTATGTTATAACAGAGAGAAAAGAAAGATAAATTTTAGAAGTTACAGAGGAAGGGGAAAGTCTGCCGTTTCTTTTTCCATTGAGTTAATCTTAGAAACAGTGGCTCATTTAGATTCTGCTGTATGGACTACCAGGCAGTCGGGTGAAATAGTTATTGACTAAGCTTATTTTTGCGTGTTCCCCTCTCCAAATATTCAGTTTAAGGAAGCAGACCTTTGTAAGATTGCCATTTTCCCTGTATCCTTTTGATCTATCCACAGAGAAGAAAGAAACCAGACACAGGTGCTGAGGCAGCAGCAGGATGAGGCGTACTTGGCCTCGCTCAGGGCTGATCAGGAGAAGGAAAGAAAGAAACGTGAGGAGAGGGAAAGGAAGCGGCGGAAGGAAGAGGAGGTACAGCAGCAGAAGCTGGCAGAGGAACGAAGGCGACGGGTAGGGGACCTTGGCTTTTATACCTGTGACGACGGCCAGAATGCAAGGATTTACCATCTTGGTTTTTTCTTAAGTGTGAAAGGGGGATGAAAAGCTAGCAAATTTTAAAAAGTCAGACAGAATCGCTCTTGTTTTGTGAAAAAAAGTGATATAAATTACGATTCAAAATGCAGTTCACAGCAGTAGTTTTAAATCTTCTTTCCTTTTAATAGTTTTAGATGCTTTTTTTCTTTTTTCTTTACCTGTGTTGGCTAACCCAGAATTTCATTCATAATCCTGGTTTACTGTATCAATTGATGATAGCAAGAATCTTTTGTCTTTACCTTCCCTCAAATAGTTAAATATCTAAACTTAGCTAATAAGTAATACATGTTATATGAGGGGTTTTTTGGTGGTGATTTGTCATGAACTTTTATTCTGATTTCTTGACAAACATGCTTGATAATTTCTTGTTTCCTTATGAAGCCACAGTTTAACTTACACTTCATCTCTCTATAGAATTTACAGGAGGAAAAGGAGAAGAAGCTGGAGTGCCTGCCTCCTGAACCTTCCCCAGATGACCCCGACAGTGTCAAGATAATTTTCAAATTACCCAATGATTCACGAGTAGAGAGACGATTCCACTTCTCACAGTCTCTAACAGTAAGGGCCTCTTAAGTTGTTTGAACTCTATGTAGAGTTCGGGCTGTGGGTTTTAAGCCCTTTAGAGACTCAGGAATGTTATGATGTTTACTTCCCTGATGAACTGGGAGCAGACAGACAGATAGAAGGATGGGTGTGGACACTAGAAAGAATACAGTGAACTAGTGCTGGTTTCTATAGTTCTGTCTACTCAAGTCAATTATTAAGGTTTTCATTCATCTACCATTAAGTGTTGGGCTTCTGACTGAAAGGTCAGCAGTTCAAACCCACCAGCCACTCCATGGCAGACAGATTTGGCAGTCTATTCCCATAAGGAGTTACAGACTCAAATACCCTCTGGGACAGGTCTCTTCTATTCTAGGGTCACTATGATTCAGGATCCCTCAAAGGCAGTGAGTTTTAACTAGTTGTCATTGAGTCATTTCCAACTCATGGTGAGCCAGTGTATTGTAGGGTGGAACTGCTGTGTGACTTTTCAGAAGCAGAATGCCAGGCCTTATAGGGGGAAAGCATGGCTCAAACCACAGATTCATCAGTTAATTACTCAGAGACTCCACAGTATCCATAGGTAAACGTGTTTGTATTTCTGTAGCCTTGCTCATTCTCTGGAAAGGGATAGACAGAGTGTCAAAGAATAGTGGTCAAATTCTAATTGTTTGAAGGTTACTAGATGTGTTTTCTTGGTTAGTTTACTTAATCTATTAACCTCAATTTCCTCATAACTGTTTGTATTGACAGTTAGTATGCTGCCTTCCCAAATTTACTACTATTCTTTCCCCTGACCTTATAAGATAATCAGGAATAAATTGTTTGATAGAACTGAGGATGTCCTGTAGTCCTAGGAGGTTGGATAGTATAAACTTTGCTTCTCTTTACTTGAGAACTTCAGACAATTTAAAAACCTTTAACAAAGCCTCAGATTTCTCATCTCTAAAATGGGCATTAATCTATCCTCTGATAACTTTAAACTGATGATAAATGACTATGAGACACTGCGCAAGGCACAGCAGAAATTCACTCACTTCACTCATTGACATCAAGTTTAACCGAAGCGTAGCTGACCCGCCAGTAGGTTTTCAAAAGCTTTAGATCACATGGGAGCAGATTGTCCGTCTTTGTCCCATGGAGCCACTAGTGGATTCAGAGCAGCAGAGAGGCACCTCCTCTGAGCCCGCAGCACAGCTCCTTGTGGACTTGGCCACCACGACGCCCTCGGTAGGAACTAAACAGATAATTAAGACAGGGCCCTGGTCACTCACTAGGGAATACAAGATTCAAAGAGCTACTACAGAATTAAAATTATTAGGATCCTAGTTTAAAGTAAAAGATTAAGAAAAAAAATAGCTTTCTTATTTTGTTTATCTTTCAGTTATGCATTTATATATTGAAGGTAGGTGTTTATATCTAAAAATTGTGATAACGAAAATGTACCTAATACACATATAGCATTTCACATGGAGTAGGAGGTGGGGTGGTGACTGATTGTTAATCCCCAACTTTAAGAATCCATGTGCAAACCAGTTTTCAAATATGTGTGTGAATTGTAGCTTACATCTGTACTCTTTAGCAGCTTTGCTACCCTTACTCTGCTGTGTAGCCACATACACCTGAACTTTATAGAATCTATACTTCCACAGTTGTCAGGTGAAAATAGAACCCATATATATTCTCTTGAGAGTTTTTGAGGATGAATCTAGTAGAATTGTGGTCGAAAGAAAGCCATTTGTTCCCTAAACACTCAGTACTGAGAGAAGTATGAAGGATGAATAGGTGGTGACACAGTTGGTTTTAACTGCTCACAGATATCATAACACATGCAAATAACACTTTTTTTATATTTTGCATTCACTGCCAGTATCTCTCTGTGAGCTCTTCCCTCCTTAAATTGTCTCAAGAGTCAATGTATCATGGATTATTTTATTTTCTCTTGATAGTGGTTGTTGTTAGGTGCCATAGAGTAGACACATAGCAAGCATGTGAATATTGTGCTAGTCTGTGCTACCCTCATGATCACTATCTGCGCAGGCCATTGTGGTAGTCACTGGGTCAGTCATCTTGTTGAGAGTCTTCTTCTCTTTCTCTGACTCTCCCTTTGCCAGCATGGGGTCTTTCTCCAAGGATTTATTCCCCAAGAATATGCCCAAAGTAAGTGAGACAGAATTTCATCATTATTGTCTCTAAAGAGCACTCTGCACTTTCTTCAAGACATATTTGTTTGTTCTTTTGACAGTCTTTGTGATATTCCGTACTCTTCACCAGCGCCACAATTGAAAAGCATTGATTCTTTATTCATTGTACAGCTACAACTATCAGATACATAGCAAGCAATTAAAAAAGATCATGGTTTGAATCGGGTGCATCTTAGTCTTTAAACTGACATCCTTGTTCTTTAGCGCTCTAGAGAGGGCCTTGACAGCCGATTTCTCCGGTGTAGCACATATTTTGATTTCTTAATTGCTGGTACAATGGGTGTTGACTTTGGATCCAAGTAAAATTAATTTACTAACAATGTCAGTCTTTTTTTGCATTTATCATGATGTTGCTTATTGGGCCAGTGGTGAGAATTTTTGTTTTCTTGATGTTGAGGTGTAATCTACATTGAAGGATGTAGCCTTAGATCTTCTATAGTAAGTTTTTCAGGTCTTCTTAACTTTTTGCAAGCAAGGTTGTATCATCTGCATAAGAGCTTGATGAGCCTTCCTCCAATCCTAATGTCACATCCTTCTATATCCATCTTCCTGAATTTTTGCTCAGTAAACAGTGAATAGGTATGGAGAAAAGATGCAACCTTTAATGCACTGCTTTCCTGATTTTAAACCAAAATATAAAGAAGGATAAAGGATTAAAACTTTAGGTTTTATGAGTGAGCAGGAATGTGGCAACTGATTTTTTAATGAATATATATGAGAGAAGATCCAAAGTATGTCATTTTTCTATCCCATCACAAACACAGAGGAGGCTTTTATGGTGACATCATCTTTTAGCTGAAGATACCAACTCATTGTTGGGAGTGGTTGTTGTTATGTGCCATCTAGTTGCCTGTGATTCATAGCGACCCTGTGTGCAAGAGCCCTAAACCGGGCTCTATCCTGTACTAACCTCACTATCTTTGACACACCTACCTCCATTACTCCAGTCACTGAATCAATCCATCTTATCGAAGGTCTTCCTCTCTTACGTGTCCCTCAATTCTCCCAAACATGATGTCTCTCCAAGGAATGGTCCCTCCTTGTAACATGCCCCAAGTATGTCAGACAATGCTTCATAATCCTTGCCTCCAAAGAGCAGTCTGGTTTCACCCTCTCTAAGAAAAACCTATTTGTTCTTCTAGCAGTCCATGTTATATTCAACATTCTTCTCCAGCACCACAGCTCATAGACATTAATTCTCTTTCCATCATCCCTAGTCACTGTCCAGCTCTCCGACACATAGCACCCAATTGCGAAGACTGTAGCCCAAATCAGATACACCTTAGTCTCCAGCCTGATGTCATTGCTCATCAGTACTCTGGAGAGGTCACTCACAGCTGACTTTTCCAAAGCAATTTGTCTCTTGATTTCCTGGCTGTTGCTACCAAGAGTGTTGACTGTGGAGCCAAGCAAACTAAAACTGTTAACAATCTCAATCTTTTCACTATCCATCATGATGCTGCCAGTTGGCCCAGTGGTGAGAATTTTTGTTTTCTTGATATTGAACCTCAATCCATATTGAAGGCTGCAGTCCTTGACCTTCTGCATTCTGTAGCAAGTGCCTCAGGTCCTCCTCAGTTTCATCAGGAAGGGTTGTGTCATCTGCATAACGCAGGCTGTTGATGAATCTTCCAGCAATCCTGATGCCAGGGTAGTAGCGGGAAATGCCAGCTTTGGAAGAAAAAAAATTGCCAGCTTTGGACACTGGATTTTCATTAGTGGCAAGGATGGTGAAAATTCCTCTCACATACTTTGGGCATGTTGTCAGGTGGCACCAGTCCTTGGAAAAGGATACCATGCTGGGTAGAAGGTCAGTGAAATAGAGGAAGACCTTTAGCAAGATGGATTGACAAAAGTGATTGCAGCAGTGGTTTTGAGGATGGCAAAGATTGTGAGGATGATGAGGAATAAGACTGCTGATCATGGGGTTGCTATGAGTTAGACTCAATTCAGCAGCTCATAACAGAAACCATTATCATTAAAAAGGGAATAGAAAATATTGTTTCATCTTTAGAAAAAATCATTTGGGGTTTGTACCAAGAATACTTGGTGCAAGTCATATTGATGCCTCAAGAAAAGGAAAAATAACATTATAGAAAGTGCAGGGAATTGAAATGATAGAGACTGATATTGTTGTTATGTGCCAAGTTGGAGTTATCTGATAGCTAACCCTCCAGAGTGTTTTCAGAGGCTTTAAATCACACAGGAGAGGAGTGCTCATCTTTGTTCTACAGATCAGCTGGTAGATTTGAACCATGTGGTTTTTGGTTAACAGCGTAATTTCTTATCGTTTATCGGGCCACCAGAGCTCTGTAATAGGCTAATAGGAAACTGAAAATAACAGTAGGAAGTGGGTAAGGAATTGCATTGCTAACCCAAAGACAGGTGATTTAAATTCACCAGCTGCTCCACAGAAGAAAGATGGATGATATTCTACCATGTGATTTATAGCCTCCAAAAACTCAGTGGAGACAATCTGAGTCAGTTCTGGCTCATGACATTGAGTTGAGTTGAGTTGTTGTTTGGTGCCATCAAGTCATAGACGACTCATAGCAACCCTATGAACGAACAGCCTGAGCACTGTTCGTACATAGAGTTTCCACAGGCAAGCCATTTCGGAAGTGGACTTGCTTCCAGGCATGATTTAGTCGGGAAGCTCCAGCCAACACTGTCCTTGGTCGCATAGCTTCCTTTTCACTAGGCCAACGTAGCTCTCTCTTTGTCGTCGCCGTTGTTATTGTTGTTTGGTGCCATCGAGTCATAGACGACTCATAGCGACCCTATGAATGAACGGCCTGAGCACTGAGTTCAGTTGAGCCCCTTAAAATATATAAAGGTAAGTTTACAAAAATGAAGGAAGGATGGTATACACAGACGAAAATAAACTTCGAAAACCTATAATTCTGACAGATGGACTGAAAAGAAAATAGCTTCTCAAAAAAATGAAGACTAAAAGCTCACAAGTTCTTGTTATTATTGTATACTATTGAGTCGCTTGTGACTCATAGTGACCCTGTGAACCGTGCCCTATCTTGAACCAGTCTCCAGCCCCATTACTCTAGTGACTGTGTCAATCCATTTTTTTCAAGGTCTTCCTCTCTTGCACTGTCCCCCTACCTTTCCAAGCATGATGTCTTTCTCCAAGGACGGGTCCTTCCTGGCCACATGCCCAAATATGAGTCAGAGCTTCAAAATCCTTGCATCTAAGGAACAGCCTGGTTTTTCCTTCTCCAGAAAGACCTGTTTGTTCTCTAAGCAATCAGTGGTGTGTTCAAGACTCTTCTCCAGCACCACAACTCAAAGGCATCGATTCTTCTATCATCATTGTCCAGCTTTCTGATGAATAGCAAGTAATTGTGAAGACTATGCCTTGGATCAGGTGCACCTTAGTCTCTATACTGATATTGTTGCTCTTCAGTACTCTTATCTTTTGATTCCCTGACTGCTGGTACCAGGAGTGTTGTTTATGGAACCAAGCAAGCTGATTCTGTTAACAAGCTCAGTCTCTACACCATTTGTTATGATGCTGACAATTATCGCAATGCTGAGAAATCCTTGTTTTCTTGATGTTGAACTGCAATACATATTGAAGTTTGCTGTTCTTGACCTTTTGCAGCAAACACCTCAGGTCCTCCTCAGTTTCAGCAAGCAAGGTTGTGTCATAGTGTTTCCTAATCTCTGGGTTAAAAAGATAGAGTTGAGCAGAACCCTTCATACACAACCCTTTGCCTCTGTTAGAAACAGTGCTTGATGGCTGTAGAGCAGGTCCAGGACTGTGCTCTTTGTGTATGTCACACGTCAGAGACAGGGACATATGGGCTGACCTATCCCCTGATGTGTTCCTCATATTTTTAGTCTTAACAGTGTAAGCCCTTTATACCTTGTCAGAGCCAGGAGCCCTGCCTACCAAGGGGCTGGAGAGGTGTTGGGTTTGGGGAGGGCTTTGGCATGTGTGCGCAAAGAAGTCAAAACTCAGGTGGCCTCAATGTCACTTCATGTCAGAGTGACAGCAAGATGAAATGATACATATAAGAAGGTAAGGATCTGTATGGGGAGAGGGATACACTCATGTTTTTTAATGTAGGTATGCATCTGTTGTCTATTTGCATGTGCACACACATTTCTAAGTCCATAAATTCTTTTCCTCCATTCACAGATAGTTGGCAGCAGCATCACCCCAATAATAATGTACATAGCTAACAAATAGATCATAGCTTCTAAACTCCATTGTCCTCTAAGATCCTTGGAAAAATGGCTAATTCATGGCCAGGGCAGGAGCAATACAGGATGAGTCTGGAGCATGTTATGCTAGAAATAGAAAGCAAAGAAATGCTCAAAAACAATGGGGACGTGTTAGAAAAACATTGACATTGGCTTAAATGAGCTCCTTCTTACTTTATTTAGAACAAATTGAACATTAAATAGTGAATATAACATTTTATAAAATAGGAAGCCATGTATCTGTAATTTATTGAAATAAATTAGGGGAGCTCTGGTGGCCTAGTGGCAAGAGCTGCACTACAATCCCAGAGGCTCATGGTTCAAATGCACCAGATGCTCTGCCTGGGAAGGAGGGACAATCTCCTCCTGTACCAGTCAGATCTGATTTGACGGTACACACAAATAGTAAAATAAAAATTTTTAAAAAAAAAAACAAATTAGTAAATGGAACATTTTAGGGACAAAATAGTTTTATAGTTTGTAAGTACTTTCCATAAAATATTAATTGCAAATGATTCGTTAAGCATAACTTAAAATGGAGATGCCAACAGACCACCTCAACCAGGTGATCAAAGTCAATATCAGAGCGATTGAGACAAGTTGAAGCTGTGCCACCTGGATAAGGTGTGTCAGGCGAGCTATAGCATCATTTTTGTGGCATCCCTGCCAAAGATGCCTCACCTGAATCTACAAATTGAGGGACATTTTACAAAATAAAAGATTTGAAGTCATCAGTTATTGAGAATTTTGTTGCACGCTGTGGTAAATAGATGGGGTGACTAAACACTATGATTTTAAATTGAATGCATGTGAAACTTGAATTAGGTCTTGACTGTAATGGATCAGTAAAAGTAATAATGAATTAATATGACTCTCCTGCTTTTTTTTTAGTGTTGTATTTTGGTTATTTGAAGATTATCCTTGTTTGTAATCCACATCCTCAAATATTCTAGGCTGTTAGAATATCAGATTGACAGCTTCCTCACAACTGATTTTGAGAGAAACAATTCTATGTCAGGTGTTTCTGTAACTATTTCTAAGTAAATATTTTAGCTTTGTACCAAAAATTGTCTAAGAAGGAGTACTTGAAGCACGGGTCAGACTAGCATTGGGTCTGTGTGATAAATCTGATTTAAAAGGGCTGTCCTAATAAGAAAGAAAAAAAAAAACAACCGTTTTAAAGGACTGCTATTTGTGACAGAGATGCAGGGTAGAATTCCAGTGTCCTGTGACTGCTCATATCCTGGCGTCACCCTCCAGCATTGCTGGCGTGCACTTTGACTTTTTAGGTGTGTAAATTGTTTTTTTTTCTCACCATCCTTCTTTTCTACATGGCCTCTGCAGGTAATCCACGACTTCTTGTTCTCATTGAAGGAAAGTCCTGAAAAGTTTCAGATTGAAGCCAACTTTCCCCGACGGGTGCTGCCCTGTGTCCCTTCAGAGGAATGGCCCAACCCTCCTACGCTGCAGGAGGCCGGACTCAGCCACACAGAAGTTCTCTTTGTCCAGGACCTTACAGACGAATGAACTTTTTCTTCCTTTCCCTCCCACCCCAATCCCTTAAAGAAATGGGGAAAGAAAAAAAAACACCAAAAAAAGAGAGAGAAATTCATATTATTATTATTATTATTATTATACAATATTTTTTTAAAAGACTGCTGCATCCTACAGAAGGATCAGAAACCATGCTGCCTGCGAGAGTCACGGCCTGTGCACGTGAGAGGTTAGGACCGCGTGACCAGGCCCCTCCCCCGCCTGCGCTGGCACCCGCACCTGCGGAACAGGAGACTGGGGAAGGGGACATGCCAGCCATCTTTCATTCATTCTTGCATTTATGGAAAATAAAAAATGCAAACCCTCCATGAACCAGCTGCTGCAGCATCTCTTAAAAACTTCTGGAGAAGAAAAGAAGGGACAAAACAGATGTTCCTTGAACTTCCCACAATTTATGAGTAACTTAATTTTTCTTCTGTTGCTTTATAATGACCAAAGGAATGAGGCTGACAAAGTTGGTTTTTTTTCTTTATCTGGTAGTCAATTCTTAAGAGTTCGTGCCCTTGACTTCTTGACCCCCAGGAGTGTAATAAACGTGCCTGGGCTGCTTTGTACTTGTTTCTGCCATCTTCCCTCTCGAGTTCCCAGAGAGGCCATTGTGGTTTTTGGTCCAATCTTGCTGTCCCTGCTGGCCACCTGTGCACCCAACTCAGAGCAGTAGGAGGAAATGAGGACCCATAGCCTCCAGAGGCAATCTCTGTACATACAGATGCACCCATCTATGCAGTATGAGCTGTGGATACTCACCAAGACCCAAGCTTCAGCCTTTCTTTGGAATCTGTGAGGTGGAGTTTGTTGAATCTGAACCAAAAGATAGCAGCTCTCCATTCCTCTTCTGGCATGTGCATGCTGCTCCTCCAGCATCCACCTCTCCTGACCTGCCAAGCTGGGTGCCTTTCCTGAGGACAGCAGAGTTTGTAGTGGAGCCACCAAGTCACAGGCGAGTGCCCTGCGCTCATATCAAGGGAAAGAGTGCGTGTGTATGTGTGTATTTTCATGTTCTTTTCCCTTTTAAGGATAAAAAGAGCCAGAGGCCTTGAAGGGAGTCACAGCATGACTCCCAGCCTATGTAAATTGTTGGGAAGCACATTTTCGTTTCTGATGTAGCCACCTACTTGAGGCTGTTTTTATCCCCCTCTATTGCTATGTTGAAGTAATAGGGGGTTTTTTAAACCTCTGAATGTCCCATCTGGGTTGAGTCTGTGGTCTGGGTATGTGTGCTAACAGATGGCCAGTGTTGGCTGACAGTATTCCAAAGTATTCATAGCTAGACTGGTGCAAATCCATTGTAACTGCAGCCCACTGAGGTTTCTGTCATCCCCAGTGCACTGTGAGGCCAGCGTGTTCAGATTAAGGTAGAGCATAACTTGTTAGATTTGCAGTCTCCACAGACTGACTTGCTTATGTAACAGAAACCTTTTTAAGTAGCAGTCACATGGCTAATGTTCTTTGCAGCCCTCCATTATTGGGGTAAATACCATGGACCAGGGTAAGGAGTTCTGAGATGTCGCCTGCAGAGCCATAGAAGTCCTCAGTGGCTTTGGGACAGGTGACTGCACCATCTCTGGGGAAATGGAGTCTGCCTTTGGCTGCCTGTTCTTCCTCTTTGCTTCCTGTTGTCTCTGGGCTAAATGAGTGGCAAGTTACTCTCGGTCTTTTGTCATGAGATGTTTCTGAAGTGACGAACAGGATAAACTGAACTCCACTCAACCTCTGTGAAGTCTGCCTCCCACTGACAGGCATAAGTAAGGAATTTTTCCACTCAACTCGGAGCCTGCCTCCCTGTTGGGAGTCCCCAGCTGTTTCCTGATAGTGCACAGGAGGGGGCGCTTCATTCTCATAGTCTAAAGTTTAGGTGTTCTGTCATCTTACCTACATCTCTTTGGGGAAGTCATCTCTCCTCACCCCCCTTAATTGATCTATATCCTATTTTACAATACGCACTTTATGCCTCTTTTTGATAGCAGTTCAGTGAAAGAGGTCAGATGTCAGAATATTAAGAAAAATCTCTGCATATGTTACTACAGCTCCTGGGACGACCTGCTCTTTGACTTTTACTCTCAAGATGTTTTACCCGAAGTTCACGCTCCTTCTGAGCCCATTTCTAAACAGCCCTGCTCTATCTGCCCCCCTCCCCTTCTTTTAACTAGTACTGCCACCTGGGTGCTGTCTCCCTTCCACCTAAGGGCACCTTTTTCACTCAGTGTCAGTACAGTCTATGTATTGCATCCAGGGGCCCCCTAAGAGCACAGAGGCCTGGAAGGGGGGGAAAGCACTGAGGAGCTGCTGGTGTGGGTGCTGTTAACTTTTTATTCCAAATCGCCTCTGGTGTGTTTCATCTGTTGCTTCCAGCTTTGCTCCACACTCCCAAGACTGCCACGCCATGGGAAGTGACCTAGGAAAGCCACACTAGCAGTCAGTCCAAGTTGTTCTGCAGCCTCTGTGGGGCGCTTCTGCACTCTACCAACAAAACTTCATGCAAGACGCTTGTCACAACCATAACACCCAACCACAAAGCCATTTGAAAAAGAGATCGCCAGCAGAGGTGACAATCCAAAAAACATAAACAAACCAAGAAGAACCAGGCACACCCAAACCCACAGGCAAGACCAAGACTACAAAAGGAGAAAAGCCCTAGGAACGAGTAAAAAAAAAATACGAAGAAAAAAGTAAAAACCACACACCTTGAATGCAAAGTCAGGAAAATTCTGGTGCTTGAACAAGGCACTCCGCTGGACAACTGTACGCGTGGGGGACACAGCCAGGGAAGTCCATCGTGGGGATGCAGTGACCCAGCTCGTACTGCACCTGAATAGTCCTGTGATCATTTATGGAAGAAATCTAGTGTACTTTAAATTTTTTTCATAAAAGTTTACATTGTAATGTAGGTTAACATTAAATGTTTTATAACAAAAAAGAAAACAAACTGGGTCTTTTCTGTCTAGGAGAGATGTGAGAGATCATTTTTGTGTGAATGAACAGATGGAAAGCATTGTTGGGGGTCAGGGTAATAGGTACCACATAGTCAGGATGTAGAGGGAAGGAATCAGACTGGTGGGTGTGGAGTCAATGCCAATCCAGAACAACCCCGTGTGTGTCAGAGGGCCCTCGGAGGCTGATGTTTTTAGATGTAGATCACCTGGCGTTACCTCTGAGGCACCTCTGGGTGGACTTGAACCTCAGGCCTTTGAATGAGCTGCCACACAGTTATGTTAACTGTACCATCTGGGCATTTCAAAATGAGAAGCAAAGGAGTTAAAATGTTTGGTGTTTTTTTGGTGTGGGTTTTTGTTTTTTTGAAAGAGCAATTCAGGAATGTGCTGTAACACAGCCAACAGGTCTGCTTTCAGATTCAGGATTTTGTCATTTTTCAGCTTTGTGGCCTTAGGCAAGCTTTTTAGCTTCCCTGAGCTTTGCTTGCCCCTAAATGAAAGTAATACCATCTGCTCCAGAGAAGGTTTGTGGATTGAAATGAATTGTGTATGAATCACCTGGCACAAGATAGGTGTCATGAAGTGCTGGTACCTTCCCCCGGGAGACTGTTTTGAAGGAATGCTTTCAGTGATAAGGGATTTGTCATCGTTCCTGTGAAAACAGACCTTTCTAAAGACATGGCTGGAGGAGAATCAGGTATGAACTAACAGATCTGGGCTATTACGGTTCCCTTTGTAGAGTATTTGCATATGTTTTCCTTTCTGAAAAGATATTAAACCTCAGTTGTCCGTCTGCCTTTCTTGTCTGTCCCCACTGCCCTTATTCACAGAACTTAGCATCTTGTCACCTTCAGAGTCCACCGAGTTGCTTATCCAAAGGTGTAAGTCCTTTTATGCACATGTTGACTAGTGTGGTGAAACCAGAACATGGAGAGCCAGACTCAAAGGGCTGCCTGGTTTTTTGGGTCCCAGAAGTTTTCCACCTTTGACAAGGTGTGCACAGTATCAGAATGTATAATTCTCTTTTAGTGGATAATGGGGAAGAAACTGAGTTTTCCTTTTCTGAGAAATTCTCAACCTTAAATGGGTTCCAACTTTCACAGTCTTACTGTAAAAATAGCCGTAGAAGCACAACCATTAAGTGCCTGCAAACGAAATGGTTCTCAGTTCAAAGCCAATCAGCAGTGCTGAGAGAAAGTTCTGACATTGTGCTTCCATCAAGATCCACCCTGGGGAGGGTGGAGTCACACCCAGACTGAGTCTAGCATCATTGAGTAAAGATCCCCCAAGCCTGGGAGGGAGATCACACCCCAGAAAACATGGGAGCAAGTTTCCACTGTCACATGGAGTCGTTAAGAATTGAAATCAAGCTTGACTTCACCTAACAAGTCTGTATGTTCATCATAGGGCCAAGACCTCTAAAAACAAACATTTCATGACTCTGAAGCTTACATATCAAGTATTCACCATCAGCTATCAAAGTCATGGGGAATTGAAACTCATCACAGGCATGCCTGGCTTCAAACCCTACCTCTGAAGAAAAATGGGGCAAGTTATAACATTGTTACGAAGATTAGATGAATTGCTTTGGTGGAGTTCTTGGCACACAGTGGCATATGGTAAATAAAGCTTGTGTTAGTGTTTTCAAAATATGATTTCTAGCTAACCTGCCTGCAAAGGATTTATCTAATATGGATCAGGTCAGGGAAAGTGTGGAAATGTGGCTAAGTAACAAATCTATAGGTGTCCAACTCATTGTGACCCCTCCATGGGGTTTATGAGCTCTTAATTCTCTAAGGGAGCAGACCATCTTCCTCTCAAGCTAGTAGATTTGAAGAGCTGACATTTTGCTTAGCAATGTAATAATGACCAGAGCGCCTTATGGTGAGGTTTCACTCCCTGTTGTCCAGTCTGACTCATACGAACTCGCAGGATGTAAATCACAATGAAGGAGACTAGCAAACTTTCTCCTGTAGAAGCACTGGTGGATTCAAATAATTAGAGATGTGCAGCCTTGGGATTCATAACAGAAATCTACAGACCACCAGAGCCTCTGTGGATGTGTTTTGTTGCTGTTGTGTGCCATCAAGTAGGAACTGACCAGCC